ACTATACTAATCGGCGGCGGCACGTCGATACTGGCTGGTATAATATTACTATTTTTGTAAGATTTGATTGGTTTTTCCTTCCACAGATTGGCAGATACTTGATCGTCAAAAAGATCTTTTTTACCGCTAAATAGATTGTCAGAACCGTTGAATACATCTTCATCTTTCTCGGACGCAAACAGATCATCTGAGAAAAGTTAACAGTCAATTAAATTTCGAGAATATTTTGTTTACAATTTATATTTTTGCAATATGAAGGTATTAACTGTATACCTTTAAATCGATTAATCGATGATTCACTGATTTCATCTACTGTCACAGGCTTTTGCGCTTGGCGAACGGTGCCTAATCGTTTGGCTAATTCCTCTGCAAAATTCGGTGCCGTTTCATTTGACTGCAAGCAAGAAAAAAAGAGAATTGTTTTATCTTTAAAATATAAAAATCATCAAATCTTGACACCAAGATCCCTATTCTGTATTCTTAATTCTTTCAGACTCAGTATACATTGTAATGTACATCAAATTTGAAGACATTATCCATTGAAATTATTTAATTCTGTCAACATCATCTAAGATCTGATGTACATAATAATGTATATGTTAGAAAAATAGTTAAAATTTTGAAAAAAAATTAATTGTTTAGTATGAATTATTTATTTAAATATGCATGAACTAAATTTTAAAAAATTATTTTAATATAATCCAATCCATAGTTTCAATAAAATCAGATCTGAAGGGATATCAGTGTCGTTACATTGGCACATACAATGGCTATCGTTAAAAGTTACACAACAGGAATTCGACTATCAAATAATAAAAAGATTTATAAGATTAATTATACCTTCGATACATTATTAGGTGTGGCAGACTCTGAAGCGGAATTTATATTATTTTGAGATGTAATATCCGTTTTATTATTCTCGTAAGATATGTTATTGCTGTGATCATTATAATTATCTGAATCGCTGGAGGACGACGACAACCTCGCTATATTTATATCCGGATTGTGTCGACTGTTAAATACTTTCCGCACATCGGTATCCTCCTTTTCACTTTCCGATTCATCCCTGTCTTCATCCGCTTGTTCAGATTCGCTACTGCTACTCTCTAAACCTATCTTATTCGATGCTATCCATTTATCGGAACCAATAACATACGGCAAGGGCCGATCTTGATATGGATCATTAGGTCCCACAATAACACTGTAAATCAACTGAATTTTAGTACAAAGCAAATATTATAATATGAATAAAAATAAAAACACTAACCTGAATACTACCGCACCTCCTTCATCTTCTTCTTCGCTATCGCTGCAAGCTACATCCATTATTTTGTACTTTTCATCCATTATGCTTAAACCTTGCTTAACGCTCTCGCTTATACTGGCCAAGAGATTCTCCGGCGTGGACTCCTGAGTTTTTGTATTCTGAAAAAAGAATACAAAAATTCATTTCACTCAAATATGAAAAAGTATAGATTTCCCAAAAATATTTATTCAAAAAAGAAATATTGAAATATAAATATAAATTCTCGCTTACTTCCTGCTTCTCATCCAAATTCTCCTTAATTTCTATGTCATCCTCCTGCACTCGGCTCTCGATAAACTGAGTATTGGCCAAAGCCAGAGACGTATTAGTAACATTATCCACTAGTATCCCCGTTTCTTTTAATTGCGTCGTCAACGTGTCCAGAGCAGCTTGAGTCTTGTTAGCCTTAGACACCAGATTCTAAAATTTTACACAATGCAAGACACTGTTGAATATAAACGTCAGCAAAACAAAATAATAAATTATACTTCAGAAAATTGCTGAAGATGTTTAAGAAGTCCAACGTCACCCGCCAGACTCCACTCCCTTCTCTTCTTTCTCATCTCTTCAGTAGTCCATGGATGATCCCATGATTTATCTATACCATCTGACACATCCTGCCATATAAAATAAAATAATTGATTTAAAAATAATACTGCTTACTGTTATTGCAATTACAAATATTTTAAATATTAATATACACCTTATACATACATTTATATTTATACATATTATATGTCATATAAAATCACTATAAAATTCTTCTGTAATGTCAAACTTTTAGAACTTTTGTTTTATATAATAAAATAAATTTATACATCAATTTATAGATTAATATATATATACATGTGTTATGAAATCAGTCACTCACAATATAGTGAATCGGTTAGCACATTAAAAAGACTTTATATAAAGTATTTAAATGCAGTGGAATAATATAATCAATTTTGACAATGAAATAATACATGCTTTCTAATTTCTTTGAGGAAAGTGAAATGAAACTCCAAAGAATAATTCAGTCAATCATGAAAAAAAGTGGTTTAATTCACTCTTCAGAGTGAAATTCACTCTAAAAGTTTTAGAGAGTGTATATTCTAATAAATAATATAGGTATGTATCATTATTGAGTATTTAATCGTTTAAAATATTTATTATACATTTACATTTTTAACTCTGCTAATTTTACATGCAGCAGCTTTTAGTAATAATCTAATATGTAATAAAATGTGACGAATTCGCTATTAAGCATATTGTCAATAAATACACGTATACAGTTTCGAGGAATGAACAGTAATTAATGTTCGCTGATGTTAAATTCAAAGTTGGATTAGAAAAAAACTTTCAACAAGGAAATATTTAACGAAAATCACAACTGTGCGATCGGACTGACAGCGACTATGCAATCTGAATGTAGCTTCAAAAGAAAGTCGTTTATTCGTCGGTTTATTACGTACCATTATTTACCTAAGTGCAAATGTCTCACTCACCATATCGAGCAGCTCGTAACGAACGGAGAACGATGAGGAATTTTCTTCTCGCGATTACATTTAAACGGGTCGACGGACCGTAACCTGACTCCTTATCGTAAAAATGTAACGAGGCGCAAGAGCGAAGAAAAAATATGTAGCAAAATGCGCGCCGAGATACACTCTGTCTGCGAATTATCGGTGTAATGCAGTGTAATCTGTGTATGCGAACATGAGCTGAGCGAGCGCCTCAACTCGGTTTTTCGCAGCTGCAGTTTTTGCACTCAAAAATGAAACAGGTATACGTAGCAACTCACTGCAAATTGCATATTGGAGAGAAAGAGATAAAACAAGAGGGAGATAGAAAAAGTACAGAAAGTTCAGCTACAAAGAACATTCTTCTGTCAAATCGACGCCAGGGACGAACAATTATTTCGAGGATCCCGAGTGCAAATATGGATGTAAACACGAATGTCGAGGAGAGAGAGAGAGAGAGAGAGAGAAAGTAAAAAAAAAGGAAAAGCTAGAATATAAAAATGTCTAATACTAAAAGGACACTTTTAAAAATACAAGCGGCAATTAATATTTAAAAAATTATGTACACATATGAATTTATAATATATAATTATATTTTAACGCATAATATTTTTAATAGCCTTAATATACAAAATTATAAATACTTTTTTAAAAATTATATTACAAAATTATAACACATGTCTAATCATAATCTCATTTTTTCGCAGATTAATTGAATAATGATAAAATTATAAATTTTATTTATAATTACGCGGGAAAAAATGTTATATATATATATATATAT